TGATTACACCAGACACTCTGGGGGCCTGCAAGCATTCCGTGCAAGCGATCCATGGAATTTCCCAAAAACCAAGGAACATCAACGAACAAGCTGGTCGACTTGATGAAAGCAGGCATGCCAGAGTTCCGCCCATGAGTTTGCCCACGCCACTGCAGGAATATCATCACGGTTCCGGGATCATCTTAACACAGTAGATGGCGTCATTAATCTACAACGGACAGAGTCGTTATTCCACCGTCACTACAGAGCATGACTGTTGACGGCCCTTCATCGCCGCAGCACCAGATCACGTCATCGATGATTGCAAGAGGCAGAAATATCCGTGTCCTGGCCTGGAGATTACTCCCGCCATCGCTGCCCGCTAAAGTGAGCTCACCCTTTGCAACCGAATGGCAACCTCAGCAGCCTAGCGCATCCGCCGACACCCACGAACCCGCCGGTTTTACCCTGATTCCAATGTGTATGTGCTGATTATTCCACTACAAGGCCACCAACTACCTGGCAATCGCGTGGACAGAACTCCAACTGGCCTATCGTGACAAGGCCTCAATGTGGTTCACTGGCTCCGTTGGACAGCCTCCGCAGAGCATTCGTCACCTATGGCATACCCGACGAACTCGCATCTGACGGTGGCCTGGAATTTACTGCTGCTCGCACCCCCCGCGAGTTCATGAAGAACTGGGGTGTTCATCACCGCTTTATGTACTGTTGCCTTCCCCCACAGGCAACTGTCGTGCAGAAGGTCGAGTGAAAAACTGTCGAAACGACTTATAACTGACAGACACAGGACCATACGGTGAAGCTTGAACAGACAACTTCCAACGTGGCAATGCTGCCAGTACGCGAGAATTGCCCTGACAATAGACAACCAAACTCTCCCCTGCGATGTGGCGTTTTTGCAGAGCTATGCAGGCTTCATCCTGTCTCCCGGTCGTTACTGCCACATAGCACATGGAAAGAGACATTGGCGGCGAGGGAGGCAAGCATTGAGAAATCCGACACTATGAGGGCTCGCTGACGTGTGGATGGAACACAGCAGAAGCGACTCCCACGCCCTTGTAGTTTGGCACCCACGTCAGGATCCAGAACCAAACACTGGCCCTAGCGCAACTGAGATGGGATAAAACTGGACAGTGATAGAGTCGCCAACATGACCAACGTACGTGGTCCGTGTCGACCGGTCAGGACGAGTTACAGTCGCGCAACTAGGAAGTTCCCTGCGGAATGTATACACGGCGGTACACCCGACCTGCCACGTACCAGTATCATTGATGACATCAGCACGTATGCATCTAGATGGCCAGTCAAAGCCTGGGAACCCTCCATGAAGCCATGAACATGGAGGCAGGTGGGCACCTCAAGAGTCATCACAACCACCATCGTACCCCAGGAACCCGCTACCTGCACGTCGCAGCGTCATCGGTCACCATCCAAATGACCAGCCACGGTCCGCCGGATGCCCATCAGCCAGCTTCGACGACTTCCGATGAAGACAATCAATTACACCCGCCTGACTCGACAATCGCTGGGGTCCACATCGCAACAGCAACCTGTCTCCTCAGGCACACGCCACGAAGCCCAGTCCACAGGCCGGGACACAGTGACGCTGCCGGACGATCCTGCACCGACCAGAACCGCGACCACCGTCAGGCAACAACGCTGCCGGCAGACATCGGCGAATTATGATCATGAAAAATAGTATTGTATTTGTGGACATCATTAACTTATTTAACTTGTCGCAACATAAACTTTACTTGTTTAAGTTCTTAACGTTTAATTCGCATGGAACAAGTGCTCTTAATCAATCATTGAGTTATTCACGGTCATAAGTATGTAAAGACGTCACTCTGAAGATTTATTGCTTTCGTTTCATGTGTACTTTTAATCAGTCAGTCACTTGGCCCCTTTCTCTTAAATACGAACATCCAAAGATTGGGGGAGAGTAGACGAATAATACACCACAGTGTAACTCTCTGTCCATTGTTTCAGATTGAGTTCCCATCATTTGTAATCTGTCATCAAGTCCATCATTGAATTGAAAGACTGATTCACAAATGGATCCTTCCTATCTAATTACGAGTACTACTGCACCTGGGTTACACTTACTGCGCAGTACTATTCATCATTAAGAGTACTAATTACGAGTACTACTGCACCTGGGTTACACTTACTGCGCAGTACTATATTCGATTCATTACGAGTACTAAATTAACGAGTAGCTACTGCAGCCTGGGTTGCCATGGTACGCAGTACTATTCATCATTACGAGTACTAATTACGAGTACTACTGCACCTGGGTTACACTTACTGCGCAGTACTATTCATCATTACGAGTACTAATTACGAGTACTAGCTACTGCACCTGGGTTAGCCATGGTACGTCTGGTTTCTCATTCCGCTGCTTGTCCAGCGGCGCCGACGAAATCCCGCGCAGGAAGAAGGTTCCACTCGGCGTCGCTGATGTCACTCGCTGCTGGCATGATGGACACACAGCTAATGAAGGAGAAAGACGAGCTTGTCCTTCTAAACAACCCTCTAAACGAAAGGCAAATATGTCTGTGACTGCTCAACCAATCCTCTAAAGAAAAATGACGACTGGCATCATCTGGCTGTCCTTCTCAACAACCGCTCTGAAAGAAAGCGAGAATCCGACTGATACTGCTCAACAACGTCTGGACAAGAAGACAAGATGACGATGACTGCTTCTAAGAACCCTCTAAAAGAAAGACCAAGATGTAGACTGCATGACTGGGCTCTAAGAACCCTCTAAAAGAAAGGCAAGATAGACTAATGACTGCATATCTGGCTGTCCTTCCTCAAACAACCCTCTATAAAGAAAGACAAGATGACTGATACTGCTCAAATCAACCGTCTGAAAGTAAGACAAGATTATAGACTGACGACTGCTTTAAGAACGGCCTCTAAAAGAAGACAGATGACTGATGACTGCTGCTAAGAACCCTCTAAAAGAAGACAAGAGTATAAGACTGGATTGACTGCATCTAAGATACCCTCTAAAAAGAAAGACAAGATAAGACTGATGACTGCTCAAACAACCGTCTGAAAGGTAAGACAGATTATAGACTGATGACTGCTCCAACAAAAACCTCTAAAATGAAAAGACAGAGAATAGACTGATCGACTGCGTCTAAGACGCCTCTAAAAGAAAGACAAGATATACGACTGATCAACTGCTCAATACAACCGCGCTGCAAGAAAAGACAAGACTATAGACTGATGACTGCGCTCTAATTAAGAACCCATCTGAAAGAAAGACAAGATAGACCTGATGACTGCTCAAACAAACCGTCCTGAAAGAAAGACAAGATCGACTGAACGACCTGCTTAAGAACCATCTAAAAAGAAAGACAAGATATAGACTGATGACTGCTCAAACAACCGTTCTGAAAGTAAGACAAGATATAGACTGACGACTGCTTTAAGAACCCTCTAAAAGAAGACAAGATAGACTGATGACTGCTCAAACAACCGTCTGAAAGTAAGACAAGATAGACTGATGACTGCTCAAAACAACCCTCTAAAAGAAAGACAAGATATAGACTGATGACTGCTCTAAGAAAACGCCTTAAAAGAAAGACAAGATATAGACTGATAACTGCTCATAACAACCGTCTGAAAGAAAGACAAGAAATATAGACTGATGACTTGCTCTAAATTAAGAGCCCTCTGATAAGAAAGACTAGAGATAGATTGATGACTGCTCCAAAACAACCGTCTGAAAGAAAGACAAGATCGACTGACGACTGCTTTTAAGAACCCTCTAAAAGAAAGAGCAGAGATAGACTCGATGACTGCTCAACAACGCGTCTGAAAGAATAACAAGATATTACGATGATGACTGCTCAACAACCGTCTGAAAGAAGACAATATATAAGACTGGGAGCGAGACCTGGCGTCTACAGGGAAACCCGCGTCTAAAGCAAAGAGCAAGAATCGGCTGACAACTGCTCAACAGCCCTCTCAAGATAAAGGGCAACATGAGGATCCTAACGACTGGACACCGTACTGAGCGGACTGACACGCTTAGGTGTCCTTGCTCAACTGTCCATCTCACACCATTCTTTCTGCAGCTTTGACGTCTGCTGACGTATGTCCGACAACGCACCCTGCACACGCTTACTACATCTTGAACAACACAGTTGCATTGGTAAATTGCGAGTTGGGACCCAGCGATTGTGGACTGCAATCGCCTAAATCAATTGAGGCAACTTTGCTCTCGTTCAGCAAGTACAGCTTTGGTAGAGGCACTTAGCGTCAGTCTAATCATCGAGACCACCCGTGCGCTGGAAGCACTTGCGAGGGATGACTGTGACGATTGTGTCACAACTGTCACCAGGCGTTCACGGTGACGCGACGAATGAGGTGAGACATCACCGGTGACAGTAACATAGGTGCATCATTCGCTGGACGTGGCCACGAGCACATACGCCCAGCGTTATAGAGTGAAATTAAGATTATTATACTACTATATCTAATATCAGACAGAGATACATCAGAATGAGTGGATGAACTCAAATAAAAAAGGGAAATTCGTACATTGTTATAAGCCTAGAATACTATGATTCTACACGCGTAAACTCAACCAACTTGAGCTGCAAGTCGTACACCACAGTACATTCGCCTTGGCATCGGCGAAGATCGTGTTCCTCGTAATACGCCCGCAATCCGGAGATACAGACAAAAGTTACGACACGATTATCGCATGTCTGTGTTGCCAGCAAACGCGAATGTATAAACCGCCGTACTGAAACAAAAGGCAGCCTTCTAACGACTCTGGGCACTTTTAGCTCCCCGCGCGATGACGCGGTGGGCCTTGCTAGATAGCTGCCTTTTGTTCAGTTAGGCGTTTATACATCCGGTTTGCTGGCAACAGAATGGATAATCTTGTCGACGTTCATTAGTCTGTTCCCAGGATTGCGGGTGTATATGAAGGAAACGATCTTCGCACGATTGCTAGGCGAATGATACTGTGTTACGACTTGAGCTCAAGTTGGATTGAGTTAACGCGGTCACCGTAAACTCCGGTAGTTTCTAAGGCTAGTAAGATGACGAATTTCCCTTGGTGTTATTGATGTTCACACTCCTTCCCTATTATCTACTTACTGATAGTATATATATATAATATATATATATATATATACATACGAAATGAGGTGGTCAATTTTTATGAGTAAAAATATAATATTATTATCCGTGGCTGTTGTTTACTTCTAATATATATATAATTTAATATCATACACACATATACATATATAGATGAGGTGGGGCGAGGCCTGATGAGATGAGACACGGAGGGGTGCAGACGAGGCACAGGTCGAGTCGAGACGAAGAGGAGAGGCGCGGCAAAGTGGGTCAAGATGAGATGAGACACGAAGAAGGGGGTGAGACAAGGCGAGATGCAGCCACGCGAGGCGGGGTAGGTGTAAGGGTAATGATAGGGGTATGGTAGGCATATAGGAGTTAGGATAGGGGTTGGCTTAGGGGTAGAGAACAGGATAACAGTAGACCAGTGCCAAATTGACATAAACTAAGCGAGACTTAACATTAGTCACTTTATGATATTATGAGGTTAAGTTTAAAGTGATTACGTCACCGTAAATAGTAATAAAAATAAAAATATTTCCACTTTTTCACAAAATATAAGTAATTCTGTTCACTTTTTATGGTTAAATTGCTGCATTATACTTCTTATTTTACTATATTCTTCGATGTGAACATACACTCGTGACTCATACATAGCCCATAGCAAGCAAATAATGTTAGGAACACTAATATCAAATCGTCCAGGTTTTTTAGATTTTTAACTAGTTGAGAAACAATCTTATCAGGTAAGAATTTGACAATACGTTTAATCCCGTTAGTTCTTACTTTTAATATAAAAAATGGCAACACAAATTTTACAAATTTTACCATAGAAAATTCGTGACGTAGTCAATTTAAGTATTTCGTAATGACTAAAAGTTTTCCTGATGCTCTTTCACCTGCAATAATGCGTGTAGACGAGAAGCGCTTACCCAAATCGACATCACACGGACGAAAAATGAGTTTTTCGCGTAGTTTCATTACAAAATCGAGTTAAAAATACGTTTAGAGTGCTTTATAATTTTTATTTTATTGAGGCATACAGTTGACAAATAACACAGCTTCACATTATTATGTTTTACAGACACATTTTTTTTGCCTTCACATGGGCTTTAACATGAGATTTTTCGTGTAGACCGTTGATAGAAACAAAATTAGTCTTAACATTTACTTTATCTCGTAGACCATTTACAGAAACATAATAAAGGGGTTACCCATATAATGCGGGTTTCTCATGAACAATGTATAGTGGTCTGGTCTAAGAGAAAAAGTTAATCTTGAGACTAACGTTACGACTAATTTTGTTTCCAGCAACGGACCCCGGGGTAACAGTAGCGATCAGGGCCCCGTTGTCAGAAACAAAATTAGTCTTAACATTAGTCTTAAACAGCTACATTAATTGCTCAGTCAGACCCCGGTCGGACCAGCACTTCTTGTTTGTACTTGTTACGAGGAACTCTGCTACGATTTTTACCCATTCAGGTAACTTCGCAGCGTTTCTGACGACGGTCTAAGGGAAAAAATTAGTGTTAAGACTAATGTTAAGACTAATTTTGTTACTGACAACGGGCCCCAGGGTTGCAGATAGCCTACCTTGCTAGCTGACTGCTCTTCTAGCTGCGCTTGTAAGGTCTGTATGACTTGCTTGCCCTTCGCCTGTATGTTCTTCTTCGTCGTCTCTGCTTCGTTCAGATGCTGTTCTATGTCTTTGCGCAGCTTCTGCTCCCGTTCCAGCTCAGACTTGATGCTAGACTGAATACCTGGCAGTAAAAACCACGACGACGACGATGTAAGCCCACGGGCCGAGGTGGAAAAATCAGTCTCGAAAATGACTTTTGTTTGACACCTCATGGAACCGAGTTTAAATCTGAGTATAAGTTTAATACATTATCTTGATGATGATTAATCACAAATGTTTACCCAAAAATTCGTGCACATTAGTTTGTAATGGGCTTTTGAAAAGTGGAGTTACGTTAAGTAGGGTTAGGTGTGAAACTTTTATTTCTGGGGCCCCTTGTCGAAATGCATGAGCCCATCGTCGAAAACTACAATTGACATTCGTCAAAACGTTAGACTTTATATTAACGTTTTTCCTTGTAGACGGTTGATCGTTTCGTAAAGCCACGAGGAAATTTTTCTCCTCCCCTCCCTCTCTCCTCCTCCTGTGCTCACCCTTCAGCATCTTCTTGCACACCTTTTCCCCCAGCAGTGTCCCCCTCCCTCCCCGTCTTCTCCTTCTCGCTTCCTCTCCTCCCACCCCCTCCCCCTCCCCCACCCCCTCCCTCCCCTCCTCCCTCCTCCTGTGCTCACCCAGCTGCTGGCGCATCGTGTCAGCCTCCTGCGTGAGCGTGTCCTCTATCGTGTCCTTGGCGTGCTGCTCGGCGTGCAGCTGGTCCTTGAGGAAGAGGATCTCTCCTCGCAGCGTCTCCTCCAGGTGCTCCTTGCTCACCTTCGCCGCGATCAGCTCCTCGTTCCGCTTCAGCATCACGTACTGCAGGTCCTGTGTGTGTGTGAAAGAGGAAGTAGAGAGAGGGGGAGAGAGAGGGGGGAGAGAGAGAGGAGGTAGAGGGAGAGAGAGAGAGGAGGGGAGAGGAGGGAGAGGAGGAGGGAGAGAGGAGGGGAGAGGAGAGGAGGAGGAGAGAGGAGGGAGAGGA